AAAATCAGTTAGCTTAACAACTTTTACTATATAGAAAAGCCAGTGCATTTGAGTAACACTATGTTCCAACAATGGCTTTTATGTCTTGTTGCTTAGCAACAAAAGTATAACCTAATATTGTTGATAGTTTATGTACTGAAAGTATAAAATGAAAGGTTTAGACAACAAAACGATAAAAATTATTTGTTGATTTCTTATTTTAGAGTCCCCATTGATTAAAAAGGTTTATTTTTTATTAAAAAAGTTAGTGATATAATAGAAAATAGCTTAATTCAGAAACGACTTAAGTGTAAAATTGAATTGATATTTTTACTTTCATGATAAATTTTATGCACTTGGCTCTAGACTAGGTGATCCCACACTGTCTTTCTTTAGGCTTATTATACCAACACTCGCTACACTTATAAGGTTTTATGAACCACCTTTCATGGACTCCTTGCACTCCTGTTACTAAAATTGTAATGGGCAGACAGTAATCAAACTATTCTATCTGGATAAATGCATTTTGACTTTTATGATTCCTCCTATTTAGAGAAATCAAGTATGACATGACACACACTGGCTTTATATAGGTTAGATTATATACACTTGTTTCAAAGCAATGAAAATTGATGGCTATTACCAGTTGCATTGTCACAGACAACAATTTGTTTTTCAACCCCATCACAAAGTCACAAACATCAGTATGTATACACATTGAACAGATCTAAAATTAACAATATATCACTATAATGTGAAAACAAGACATACATGTCACAGTGTTTGTTGGCATCACTAATTTTATTACTCTAATAATTTATGTGTTTTCGAGATTCTTCTCCATTCTGAAATTCTATGGGTATCCCTTTTAACTGTAGCTAAATAAAGATATTTATTTTCTCTAAAGTGAAATTACTTTTGTCAGTTGCTTACTTGGCAATAGCTTTAACAACTAAATCTACTTCCTTTCTAATGCTGCAAGACTAAGTTTTTTACCTTGTTCGTTTTTAAGGGCAGAAACTAGTGGGACTAGTTTGTGCCTGTCAACTTATGAAGCCCAAGATATGTTTCTTGAATGTTGCATTATTTGTAAGCAGCAATGAAGTAGGGAGGTTTTCATTCTATCAAAGATTCTTGTCCATGATTTTTAAAGTGGAGTGTAAGCAGTTCCTATTATGTATATTTAACATTTATTAAATTCTTAATGAAACTACATTGTTTATATTTCATAAAACTGACATATTCTGTTGGGTCGTAAAGAAATTTATGTGACTTTTTTTAGATGAAAAAAAACCAAAACAAAACATGTATTAAATGAAATAGTCTCCATTCTTATCATTGATACTTTTCCATCTTACAGTCAGGTTGTT